GAGCTACAATATTATCAGCACTAAGACTGTTGGAGCTACAATATTGTAGTCTGTGTTGGCACTACAATATTCTGTGTTGGAGCACTACAATATTACCAGCACTAAGACTGACTAGCACTAAGACTGATGTGAAAGTCTGTGTTGGAGCTACAATATTCACCAGCACTAAGACTGATGTAAGTCTGTGTTGGAGCTGATGTAAGTATGTGTTACAATATTCCCAGCACCCAGCACCAGCACTAAGACTGATGTAGCTACAATATTCCCAGCAACTGATGTAAGTCTGTGTTGGAGCTACAATATTGACTGATGTAAGTCTGTGTTGGAGCTACAATATTACCAGCACTAAGACTGATGTAAGTCTGTGTTGGCAGCTACAATATTCCAGCACTAAGACTGATGTAAATCTGTGTTGGAGCTACAATATTACCAGCACTAAGACTGATGTAAGTCTGTGTTGGCACTACAATATTACCAGCACTAAGACTGATGTAAGTAGTGTTGGAGCTACAATATTACCAGCACTAAGACTGATGTAAGTCTGTGTTGGAGCTACAATATTACCAGCACTAAGACTGATGTAAGTCTGTGTTGGAGCTACAATATTCCCAGCACTAAGACTGATGTAAGTCTGTGTTGGAGCTACAATATTACCAGCACTAAGACTGATGTAAGATCTGTACAATATTACCAGCACTAAGACTGATGTAAGTCTGTGTTGGACTACAATATTCCCAGCACATGATGTAAGTCTGTACAAGCACTAAGCACAGACTGATGTAAGTCTGTGTTGGAGCTACAATATTTCCAGCACTAAGACTGATGTAAGTCTGTGTTGGAGCTACAATATTACCAGCACTAAGACTGATGTAAGTCTGTGTTGGAGCTACAATATTACCAGCACTAAGACTGATGTAAGTCTGTGTTGGAGCTACAATATTCCCAGCACTAAGACTGATGTAAGTCTGTGTTGGAGCTACAATATTCCAGCACTAAGACTGATGTAAAGTCTGTGTGTTGACAGCTACAATATTCCAGCACTAAGACTGATGTAAGTCTGTGTTGCTTCAATATTACCAGCACTACAATATTCCAGCACTAAGACTGATATTACCAGCACTAAGACTAATGTAAGTAGTGTTGGAGCTACAATATTCCCAGCACTAAGGCTGATGTAAGTCTGTGTTGGCAGTACAATATTCCCAGCACTGAGACATATGTAAGTCTGTGTTGGAGCTACAATATTACCAGCACTCAGACTGATGGAAGCCAGTGTTGGAGCTACAGTGTTCCCAGCACTAAGGAAAATGAGTAAAAAATATACATTTTTGTTATTTTAAGTCTAATCCGACTTAATATCAACACAGAAATTTATTCACAATTGACTAATCATTTCGGAATTGATTGACAAAAAGGAGGAAGTGTGGAAGTGATTTTACTTTCATGTTGTTATTGGATCATATTTATAATTACAAATTGGCAGCAATGGACATTTCTGAGAAATTCAGTATATACAAAATAGGACCTGAATGTACATTCACTGCCAAAGAATTTAGCTCCCAATACTTAGCAATATGCAATACCATAGAGGTACCTGTGTCTCAATATATACGTAGAGAAACAAATAAAGGAACACAGGAAAATTCAAGCGTTCCTTTATTATTTTCCAGTTTTCATCACCACAGCTATTCAAAGAAAATATTAAAGGAACACTTGAATTTTCCTGTGTTCCTTTATTTGTTTCTCTACGTATATTATAATACATGTTTATGCCAATGCGCCACCCAATGTATTGCTAAGACTATTAAGTCTGGAGTGTTGGAGCTGCATGGCCCCATCACTATGACTGCTTTGTACAAGTGGTTCTGCAGGTACATTTTGGTAAAATTTCAATCTCTTTCCACTGTCAATAATACAAATACATTTTGACATAAAATTAGTTTCACCCTGAGTTAAAATGTGAAATATTTAAATAACATAGAAACAGATCTTTGTATAGCAAATGCTAATGAACACAGCCAACTCTTTCTCTGGAAAAGTGCTGTAGACCAACACCTGAAAACTCCGACTCTCTTGAGATGCTGGCATCTCCTTCATGGCAGTCTCAGATTACTTTGTGATGAATTCACAAAAGCCTGACTACCTTAAAATCTTGTTTAATAAGCAGTAAAACTGATAATTTTAAAAGATGATTGACTATGTCCTCTAATATCACAAATACTGTTTTGATGAACTGTTCTAAAATATATGTTACACATATGTTGACACTGAGGGTGTGGGTTCGAATTGGAACTCAACCCAACAAAAGTACTACAATCTCTACTTTACTGAGAAAGTCTAATCCCAAATTTAACATATATTACACAAGTTTACTAAAGGTAACGAAACTTTAATTAATAACTGCATGTTTTGTTTTTTAGTCCCCTGCATATTGACCAAGATAATCTTGAATCTTAAGCATCAAATTATACTCAACCAAATGAAAAACTTGACACTTGTTAAATTAAATCACACAATGGACTATTATGAAACAGATGTGTATCATACTGCTAGCATCCAGGCAACAATACCATACCACGGATAGTGAAATGTGGCATCATTTTATTGTAAAAATAATGCATAACATTCCTGATGAAGGAGCAAGAATTCATAGAGAAGTCATATAAAGAATAAAAAGAATTTGTTATCCAGAAAAACCTGTCATGTATTCATGTTCGTGCAACTTCTAAATGCCTTTCAAGAACTTCATTCCATGATCCCACAATGCAAACTTCACACTGATAAAACTGCTGGAACAGAAAAATACAAATTGTGACTTCCTAGGGCAGCCATGACAGCAACACTGCTCCTCATGGACAGGAGGACCTGTGGGGACACTCTACCAGAAGTCACTGTCATTGGTCAACAAGTGCTTGCCCAAGTTCTTGCAAGGTCTAGGGTTGATTCATCTGCTGTGGCACTCATCTACCTGGCCCATTGAAATTGTGTTTAATCATGTTTAAGTCTAGGAAAGGGGAAGGCCCACCTATGACATCAACACTGACATTATGTAGGAGTGAGTGAGTGAGTACGGTTTTAAGCCGCGTTTAGCAATATTGCAGCAATATCATGGCGGGGACAACAGAATGGGCTTCACACATTGTACCAATGTGTGGAATCAAACCTGGGTCTTCAGCTTAATAGGGCGAACGCTTTAACCATTAGGCTACCCCACCACCCTGTAACGTTGTCATGTTGAAATGTCAGTCCATGTAGTAGCTACATGAATGGATGAAGGGCTGAAGTCAGTACTTGTTTCAGGTTCTGTATGGGAAGTAAGATCAGAACTCAATCGTGATTGACCAATGCCATGAAATGCTCCCCGAACCAGTATGCTGCATCAGGACAAGTCCTGTGTATAGTCATTGAGCACAGATACCTGCTGCATTCAGTCGATTCCTCAAACTCAAGCAGCTGGCTGCTCGTAGAGGTTGCAGTCACACACTTGTTGCAGAGATGATGTAACCAAAGTCATGTGACTAGGTTTGTTGTGTTTCATGTTTTATGATCATTTTCAAACAGCTTACTTGTCATTATGATGCATATGGCACACCAGGAAACTAAAGACAATTACCTCCAGACAAATATTACCCATAATGAACACGTCAAGTTTCTAATTTTGTTGAGTATATAATAGTCTGGTCCTGCCATGACTGCTCACATTATACCCTTGTAAATGAAGTATGCTCTGATTACAGATTGGGGACTTCCTCAATTGTTTAACCTCTTTTTTTTTCCTGTTGAAAACTACTATGATTCACAACCTTGTCTTTGACAAGAGATTTACTAGAATTACAGAAATGAAATATTCTCTTCCTACAAACCAGCTGTGCATTTCTCTATAAATCTACTTACACTTTCCAGTTAGATCCAAGTATTCACTGGAGTCTGGATGAACATGTTAAACAGGAATCATCACACAGAAAACAACAAACAAAACAGACATTTATGTGACGGTTGTGGTGAGTGTGTGAGTGAGTGAGTTAAGTTTTACGCCGGACTCAGCAATATTCCAGCTATATGGCGGCGGTCTGTAAATAATCGAGTCTGGACCAGACAATCCTGTGATCAACAGCATGAGCATCGATCTACGCAATTGGGAACCGATGATATGTGTCAACCAAGTCAGTGAGGCTGACCACCCGATCCCGTACGACAAGCATGGGTTACTGAACATCAATATTCTAACCCGGACCTTCATGGGTGTGTGACAGTTGTGAATAACAAACACATAGTTCACAGTAACTATTTGATTGGTACTGTAGAAGTAAGTGAGTAAACAAGAATCTACTTTAAAACTTTGCTTAATGAAATAAAACTGTATGTTTTGTATGTTTTCTTTGAGTGGCATGTTTTGAAGTTGGAGAATCAGATAAGGACAAAACTTTATGGATGAACAACTTCTTTATTTGGATGATGCGACGTACTTGCTTGACAACGATACAAGAATCTGTATCGAAACGTTGCATCATCCGAATAAAGAAGTTCATCCATAAAGTTTTGTCCTTATTTGTATGTCTTCGTTTTAAGTTCCAGAAACAGATCAGTTCTTCAAACATTGAATGAATCATCAGAATATGAACAATCACACCCACCCTCACAAATCCAAAAGAACAAATCATCTGACTGTTATAGCAAGTCCAGCAAGAGTGATCTGTCCAGTTTGTTGAAGGTATTCCTATCCAATCTGTCTATCAGTACAACAGCAGCTTTTCTAGCCATGAAAACATTACCATAGGATTAGGAATAAGAACTTTTAGTTGGATGACTGGTCCTTTGATACAAGTTACGAAAAAAATAGAAAAATCCAGTAATACCAAAAGACTCCAGATGACAAGATGATCTTTGTGTACAGTGATTCATGAATTAATATCAAGTAGTATTGGAGATATAATCTGGACAAACCAATACAGTCAAACTTGTTGCTGTGGAGACTGACATAAGAAAAAGTCTAAAAATCCTGAAATAGCTAAAGGCACATCCTGGTCTTTGTGTGTGCACAATTTCATGAAAGATACCTATTTATTGTTGGAGATAAAAAAATGATTACACAATTCAGACAGCCAGAGAAACAGATGGACGGATGGACAACTGCATTACTATATGCAAACACCACGATATTACATATTGCAGGAAGAGTGAGTGAGTTTAGTTGTACACCACACTCAGCAAAATTCCAGCTATATATGGTGACAGTCTGTAAATAACCGAGTCTGGACCAGACATTCCAGCGATCAACAGCATCAGCATCGATCTACACAACTGGGATACAATGACATCAGTCAACCAAGTCAGCGAGCCTGACCACCCAATCCTGTTTCATGGAGGAAGAGAAATTGTAGAATGAGGAAGGAAATCGTGAGCAGAGATAAGTGCAAGTGTCTTCCTGTACATTATGAGTCATGACCTCGATGTTTGTTGTCCTGTGTAACTCTGTCGGCTGGCTTCTGCTGCTTGTCTCCCTGTCCACATCAGTCCAGCACGCTCCAGGTTCTACTGAAACAACTGTATCCACTTCCATCCCATGTTTGGCCAGGTCACCACTCATTTCCCATCCTCACTTCAAACAAATGTAGCCTGGGTGTTCAGTAGCTATTTTAGAGGTACAGTCAAAAATTGCTGAATCAAACTTGTGCATGTCTCAAAGAAAATGTGTGACTTTATCAGTCATGTTTGGTTGTGTCAGATCTTGAATAACTCAAAGTATTTACACAGGTCCTTTCAACCTCGACACATTAGCATTTGACTGTGTAACACAGTATTTACACAGGTCCTTTCAACCTCGACACATTAGCATCTGACTATGTAACACAGTATGCAGGACAACTTGGAGCATCCTGCTATTTACAAATTCTTCTTTCGTTCTTCGACTCTCTCCTTCCGCTGCGCTGATGTTTCATAAGGTAGACATTTCATGTGAAACACAGGACATTCTATGCGGAATTCAGTGCCTGAAATATCATATCAAAAGAATGTTGAAAATCAAATGAGCTTGGGGCAGAATGTGACTGCTAATTTTTTTTATTTAAGTGGACTCGAAGCTTCAGTCCATTTTGATATGTCTTATCACTTGGTCTTTTCAACTTTTAGAAGGAAAATGGTACTAAGACAGAGGACGGACATGTAAAGGTTGAGTGGTGTGTTTACAAGGCCTGATTGTTGCAACATGAAAGAACTGTGTATTATAACGGAATGTCTGTTATAAGTGTTGTGGCTTTGAAACAGGATTCAAACCAAAGATGTGGTGGAAATTCAGTCTAGTGAGGGGATGATCATGGATGAACAAACCACAAAGGAAAACAAATCACAGCTGACGACATCTAGCTACAGGTATACAATATTGACAAAACATACCTGCCTCATCAACAGGAATACATGACAGTTCTGCTGACCTTCAACTCACCTTTTTCAAGATTGATCATGACAAAATGGCCTTTCATATTGCCATACGTTGTAGGGAATGTTGTTCCACTTTCCCAAGAAAATTCCTCCCCAGGAATCAGAACAGGGTTTTCACCTATATCAAAAGAAACAGGCATGTAACCATGGCAAATGAAGCACATATTAATCTGTAGCAACAGAAACAGATATCTAATTAAACTGCTAAGAAGAGTAATAGAATCAGGTTTTGGAAACTCTTCTAGCAATGGAAACAGAACAAGGTTTTGGAAACTTTTGTCACAACACTAACAGAATCAGGTGTTGGAAACTTTACAAGTTGGAACAGATTCAGATATAGCTGAGTCAACTAAGGGAGGTAACTCTTTAATTACCCACAACAGACTATAGAAGCTGGTGCAAATGGATCTAGAGATGACATTGTTCATGAGATATTAAAGCTGGATACATCTTTAAACATGAAGTACATTGCATGTGACATTGTGTGAGTCCCAGAACATGTTGGAATACATGGGAATGAGAGTGCAGATAATTGGCCAAATCCGGATTACAATTTCCTGAAGTTGATTTATTTAAATTTCAACCAAGTCCTAAAGATTTTGAAAATGTTTTATCGAAATCTGTTACAAGGATTTGGCAGCAGTTATGGGATACAGGAACAATGTACTACCGGCCGACATATGTACAAACTTAGACCATCTTTAAAATCTGGTCATAAAATTCGTTGTCGTAAAAGGCGTGATGAGGTCATTCTGTAACGTCTCAGACTTGGACACTGAGGGATACATGCTTACTGGAGTATTATAGATAAGATGGTCTCTTCTAAATGTGGCCATTGCAATTTGGAGATGCCTGAAAATATTGAACATTTTCTAATTACATAGTCTGGGCATAATAACATAAGACACAATCTCAGAAGTGCTATACTTGAGGTTGATGATATATTTTCTTTAGAAACGGTTTTGTGCCCCAATATCATATACAGGTCCGTGCAACGGGGCAATTTTAGATTTTGTCTTTTCATCTGGAAAATACGATGTAATGTAGACAGGCTCTCAAGTGGCTTAGACACATTTAGTTCTGTGATTTTAAATCATTTTAATGCTCTGTCATCTTAACCTACTGCATTATTAATGAATAAGTATTTCATGTTTCAGAAATGGAAGTGATTACTTAAGGTTTTTTAATCCGTAACACGAAGCAGAGGTTATTTGATATATGTATACATCTATCCAAATGAATATTAATGTTGTCGGTTCTTTTATGTTAACTAAACGATTCCTTTTGGCAATGAAATTACATATGATGTTTTATTAAGTCAAGTCAATGTGTTGGGTGCAAATAGGCCTCTTATTGGCCCATGTCGCCCTAAAACTATAAAACCAACCAACAACAACAGACCAAGCTCCTGTCCACCTAAATGATTGACTGTTTGTTTATTGTTTATTGCTGCTCTCAGCAATATTCCAGCTATATGGCGGAGTCTGTAAATAATCAAGCCTGGACCAGACAATCCAGTGATCAACAGCACGAGCATCGATCTCCGCAACTGGGACATGATGACATGTGTCAACCAAGTCAGCAAACCTGACCACCCAATCCTGTTAGCCTCTCCTCTTACAATAAGTATGGGTTGCTGAAGATCAATTCTAACCTGGATCTTCATGAGGTCTACCTGCATGAATAGACAGTGGTTTCTGACTTCATGCAGAATGTAACTGGTCACTATCAACAGAAGATTTAATGGTCCTCTGTATCCATTGTAAACAAATGGCATCCCATGTGACATTAGTAGGTTTGAAAATTGTGTAAAACTGGTCTCGCAATAATTAACACCAGCAGAAGTTTGAGCTAAAAACTTTCAAAGTGTAGAAATGATTCCATGTTTATGTATACAACAAGGTAACAAACATGCTAAAGGTATCTTTCAAGTTTTTACAAGATTTTAATTAAGTTTCCCATGAAACATAAATGTATTTAGTTCTCTATTCCAGAACAGATGTGGGCCAACAGCCCCTGGTACAACATTAGTTGGTCCATTACACATAAGAATGTACATTCATGTGTTACAGAGATGTACATGAGGTATGAGGAAGTTCACTTTACAACAGCATGTCTAAGCTGTGAGGCATGGTAAATGAAACAGGCTAAATTCCTAACAACAGATGTTTGGTTAGAAGACATGACTATATTACATTTTGTCACAGTAGGATATTCGTAATATTTCTTGGCAATGTATCGTTGACGAAGATTATCAAAAACTGTACAGATCAATAAAAAATGATATTCTGTCACCATATAGCCACAGTTACAGACTTTACAAAGTCTTTCATTCCTTCATTCCATAAAACATAAATGTATTCTGCGGCAATGTGGCTGTGAGAATGATGGTGATATCTTTGCAACAATAGGAACAAGAGTACAGGATGTATGTAACACAACACGTTTCGCTGATTCAGGAAGGTACTTTTAATAAAGTCTAGAGTACAGCTAACTGGATTGGCTCTGGTTCTGGCTCTGGTTCTGGCTTTGGCTCTGGCTCGGTTCCCTTTTCTGCTGTGTGCTGCTGGAGGAGTTGTTGGTTGTGCGTCAGTCGACCTGCTGTCTCACCGTTTCTTGCTCTCTCTCTCTCTCTAAAAAAACTCGTCTTTTTAAAGGCAGTGGATCGTGACCTCCGTTTTACCCTCGGTCACGTGGTCTTGACAGTTCTATCACGATTAGTCTCCGGCACTGGAGTGAGGACACTTCCCCCATAGCCTCTGGCTATCGCACCTGGTTATTTGGCACTTGACATATAACCCCTGTCTAAAGTGTCTGGTCATTGTCTTTCACCTACTGTTTTGGGCGATGTACTGTGACAGTGACCCATAATTTACTATGTAAGCTACGTCTTTTAACTGAGGGTCATAGATCGTAACTGTCCGAATAATCATGCCGTTTCCTGTATACGTGACCATCCTCATGGTAGCTTGACCCTCGTAACAGTTTTTCACAGTATAGCTGTGTTACATGTATATATTATAAATAGTTGCACAAATCAATTAATTTGTAAAAATTTGGATTACTGTGGACAGCCATAACTGATAATACTGACCTACTACCCCTGGTCCCTCCATAATTTCCTCATTCCCATCCATGTCGGTGATGGACCAGTACCGTGACAAAAGCTGACAAGATTCTTTCCTCGGGGCATCATCATGCATCTTCATCCTTCAAACAAACAAAGTGTGTCAAACAGGCAGCAGTGGATATCATATTGTATATCTGAAGAGGTAGTAAAGAAGTGGTATAAACTACTGGTGATAACAATCAGACTACCCCACGGCCCCTATTGTAGATGAATCTGCAGTGGATGTCATATTGTATATCTGAAGAGGTAGTAAAGAAGTGGTATAAACTACTAGTGATAACAACCAGACTACCCCACCGCCCCTATTGTAGATGAATCTGCAGTGGATATCATATTGTATATCTGAAGAGGTAGTAAAGAAGTGGTATAAACTACTAGTGATAACAACCAGACTACCCCACAGCCCCTATTGTAGATGAATCTGCAGTGGATATCATATTGTATATCTGAAGAGGTAGTAAAGAAGTGGTATAAACTACTAGTGATAACAACCAGACTACCCCCCTATTGTAGATGAATCTGCAGTGGATATCATATTGTATATCTGAAGAGGTAGTAAAGAAGTGGTATAAACTACTAGTGATAACAACCAGACTACCCCCTATTGTAGATGAATCTGCAGTGGATATCATATTGTATATCTGAAGAGGTAGTAAAGAAGTGGTATAAACTACTAGTGATAACAACCAGACTACCCCCTATTGTAGATGAATCTGCAGTGGATATCATATTGTATATCTGAAGAGGTAGTAAAGAAGTGGTATAAACTACTAGTGATAACAACCAGACTACCCCCTATTGTAGATGAATCTGCAGTGGATATCATATTGTATATCTGAAGAGGTAGTAAAGAAGTGGTATAAACTACTAGTGATAACAACCAGACTACCCCACCGCCCCTATTGTAGATGAATCTGCAGTGGATATCATATTGTATATCTGAAGAGGTAGTAAAGAAGTGGTATAAACTACTAGTGATAACAACCAGACTACCCCCCTATTGTAGATGAATCTGCAGTGGATATCATATTGTATATCTGAAGAGGTAGTAAAGAAGTGGTATAAACTACTAGTGATAACAACCAGACTACCCCCTATTGTAGATGAATCTGCAGTGGATATCATATTGTATATCTGAAGAGGTAGTAAAGAAGTGGTATAAACTACTAGTGATAACAACCAGACCCAACCAGACCCCTATTGTAGATGAATCTGCAGTGGATATCATATTGTATATCTGAAGAGGTAGTAAAGAAGTGGTATAAACTACTAGTGATAACAACCAGACTACCCCCCTATTGTAGATGAATCTGCAGTGGATATCATATTGTATATCTGAAGAGGTAGTAAAGAAGTGGTATAAACTACTAGTGATAACAACCAGACTACCCCCCTATTGTAGATGAATCTGCAGTGGATATCATATTGTATATCTGAAGAGGTAGTAAAGAAGTGGTATAAACTACCCCCCTATTGTAGATGAATCTGCAGTGGAACCAGACTAGTGGTATAAACCCAACCAGACTACCCCACAGCCCACTATTGTAGATGAATCTGCAGTGGATATCATATTGTATATCTGAAGAGGTAGTAAAGAAGTGGTATAAACTACTAGTGATAACAATCAGACTACCCCACCGCCCCTATTGTAGATGAATCTGCAGTGGATATCATATTGTATATCTGAAGAGGTAGTAAAGAAGTGGTATAAACTACTGGTGATAACAACCAGACTACCCCCCTATTGTAGATGAATCTGCAGTGGATGTTATATTGTATATCTGAAGAGGTAGTAAAGAAGTGGTATAAACTACTAGTGATAACAACCAGACTACCCCACCGGCCCTATTGTAGATGAATCTGCAGTGGATATTTATGTTCTTGATTCTCAAATATTGTAATTTTTATTACAATTTTTCATGTTCTTTGAACTTGTGGCAGGGACTGATTAAATTATTTTAGTTAAATAAACATTATATATGACGAGGAGGTACGTTTTATGTTCGAGTTGGAGGTGTACATGTTGGTCGGCAATAAAATTAGAAGGGTTAGTCTGGCAATGAGAAACACAAAAAATAAATGCTTCCCTTATGAAGTTACCAGGGAGAAAATGGTGCTTGTACTTACGTTATTCTGTAGACATAGAAGAAGCTTGGAGGATGCACAGTACTGAGGTCTGGCATGAAGCATGTGCCCACCTTCACTGTGAACATGTCTCTTGTAACTCTCACACAGTCAGGTACATCCAGGAATCTGCAACACAGACAATACAAACAAAATGTTTACACAGCAGTTTCTTTCTCTCACACAGTCAAATACATCCAGAAATCTGCAACACAGACAATACAAACAAAATGTTTACACAGCAGTTTGTTTCTCTCACACAGTCAGATACATCCAGAAATCTGCAACACAGACAATGCATGCAAAAGTTTACACAGCAGATTGTTTCTCTCACATGTTTCATGGCATGAAGATCACCAAGCTAAGAGTAACCACATTATATATCATTGAGTAAGAAGCCCTGAGTTCTGTACAGTGGAAGCTGTCTAAACCAGCATTCATCGGGACTGGAGAAAGAGTTCGCTTTAGACAGCATGCCGGATTGTAGAGCTGACACAGTTACCTACGACTAGAACTGATCTCATATTCACTTTTATTCACTTAATAACATAAACCATTCTCTTCCCACAGAGGTTACTTGTCATATCTTTCTATGAACCTCTGTTTTAATACGGCCATATTTCCCAGTTCTTGTAAAATCCCCTAGTGGCAAAAAGTCGCAACACGAATTATCTCCCTTTTTTCTATCTAATTAGAACACGTGTTACATCGACTTAGATCTAACTTGACTAATGCAAGTAAAAATGGGGCCACAAGACATTTAATGGCAAGCCTGTCCGTTGTCAATGAGGGCGATGGAGACGCCTTGATGTGGCATTTACATGACTGAGTTCTGTCTAGAAGAAACGTTTGAGCATCGCGCAGGGGAAGAGGTTCCCGTTTTCCCGAAGCATACGGAAATTCCCGAGGCCTTGCGAATGATCACTTTTGAAGCAACGTCACAGATTGCAGAACTAAATCTGATTGCAACCAATCACAAATCCTGAACACTCGCACCATGAAAGGGCCGTATTAGAACAGAGGTTAGTAGGAAGATATGACAAGACACCTCTGTGGGAAAAGAATGAACATAACCATGATAAATCAATTCATTATTTCCATGCACATTTTGAGGCTGTTTCTCGGGAACCTCTGTTTCTTCGTCGGAGGAAGAATGCACTGTGTCTTCTTCCTTGAGTGTTGCCATGAACATTTGTCCTCCCATTTGTCCTCCCACTCCTACGTGTTTTCTGTTTAACATCCCTCATGAGAGACATGTGTCAACTCACTAATTACATTACAAGTATACCCATACTGAACTAAGATTAAATTATCTTTGCCGGTGATGGCTGCCGCGATGCTCATAATCCCTTGTTATTTTAACGCAGGATTAATTGGTGACGATACACATCCGGCTGACTCCTCACCACTCTCCAGATTAGATAGCGCTGATTACCGTATAAATATATATTCGGGTGGCTCATTTCCATGCCGAGATTCGGAATAGACAGCTGCGAGATTGCAGAGTTTTTAAATGATAAGATAAATGTACTAGCTATGGACTGAGATTTTATGCCAGTGTTGACAACTAGCCCGGTTGGACAGTTGCCGGTTTTGACAGCTTCCACTGGATATGTTCTTGCATTAGATGTTTTTCGTCAAACACTTATTTTTGTCCCAATATTTGGCTATATATAATCCCGTCTATTTCAAAAGAGGATTTAAAAAGAAATTGGCTTCTCCTTTTCCTATAATTGCATAATCGCAAGCACTACACACCTTAGTAAACAGCACAAACATTGTGCCCGATTGGGCAGCACAGACCTGAAATGACATCCCTTTATTCTGTAGAAGATTTCTTTGTCCATGAGCTCTGCTAGTTCCTCCAGCCATTCCGTGTAGGTGTTACCTGTCATACAAACAAGTGACCAGTTTCTAACTGTTGAACCGTGGAATATCGTTTGTCTGTTCATTATTTATCTCTGAGGTCAACAATATTCCAGTTATGTACAGATGGCCTGTACACAACAGTCTCAACCAGATAATCCAGTGATACTATGGGCAATGTCCCATGGCTTCCGTGTACATTGACATACTGTTACCCAGTCTCCCTCATCCAGTAAGACAAGCCTAGGTTACTATGGGGACCTATTACAATAACAAGAAAAGTCCACATTCAAAACCTGTTAGCTTAAATATAAATTGAAACAGCTGAGTTTAGTTAGTGAGGTTTAATGCCAGTTTGAACAGTATTTCAGTCATATCGTCGCATCTCAACTTCGAGTGGGATGAAAGTGAGTGAGTGTGTTTAGTTTTTCGCCGCACTCAGCAATATTCTAGCGATATGGTGGCGGTCTGTAAATAATGGATGAGCATCAACCTGTGCAGTTGGGAACCGATGACATGTGTCAACCAAGTCAGCGAGCCTGACCACCCGATCCCGTTAGTCGCCTCTTACGACAAGCATGGGTTACTGAAGATCAGTATTCTAACCCGGACCTTCACGGGTGAGTGGGATGAAAGCCCAAAGTGAGGTAGGGTTTAGACATTTCACACTTCGCTGGAATCCACAAGCACAGGATGGTTCTAACAAATTTAGAACCTTGCTGGGCCAATATGTCCATGGCTCTGGGTCTTTTTAAATCATGCTTGAACAAGTTCAAATTCTCAAACCTACACAACAAAGCACCACACACCAAAGATGACAGCTCAAGCAATATGCAATAAAACTGGCTTTTCCACAGTTTTATTAGGAACAATGGAAGAGAAAGCTTGTGTGTTTTTCATAAGAATAACTTAAAAAATACTAATGGTTTTGCCATACTGCTCTTATTAGAAGCCAGTGTTTATCAAAGCCTAGATTACATTATTACAGTCTTGGTCTTACGAAGCCAATCGTATTGCAGAACATTCTCCAACCCAGAGTTGCTGCTGTCAGCCTAGTACCACTGCTACAGTCTATTCAAGATGCTGTGGGGCAGAGGGGTAGCCTAGTGGTTAAAGCATCCGCTTGTCACGCTGAAGACCCGGGTTCAATTCCCCAAGACCTGGGTACAATGTGGTATCCCCCACCGTGATATTGCTAAATGAGACAAAAAACCATACTCACTCACTCTCTCAAGATATTGAATATGTTTTCCATCTGTTTCATTTCTGTCACATTTAAATTTGTTATGAAATGTTTAACACTTAGAAACAACCCTAAAACGTCAATTTCCAGAAAAAATTCAGTTCATATTTATCCTTTGTTTACACTGGTTTTATGTGTCCATGTGCAGTAAAGGAAGAGCTAGTGGAACTGTCACTCTGGTGTGTAATGCTACATTATTAACGTTCCTCACTGTCACAGTCTGTATAACCATGCAATGAAATACCTACAGCACACTGAAAGGCTTGTATTAGGACCTGTCTCTTATTTCAGAATATGGGTGTTTGTTTACAAGTGAAAGACAAGTCCTGCCTAGTCCAGCGTTGTGGTCAACAGAGCATAAAATGCTTCTTGTGTAAAATAGAGAGAGCAGAGCTGAATAAGTTCAGGGGTTATCAGGTATTGCTTGCAAAGAATGCTTTAGAAAATATAACCTAATGAGGGAATGTGAAACCACGATCCCAGGTTCTGACATGCTTTAGGCACAGGGACTGGAGCCCATTAGGCAGCTGGGTCATCAACGCTCTGATTGTGGAATTCAGTAAATACACACAGCATACAGAGTTTGAAATATCAAAAATTGCCAGGACCACATCAGAACCCCTCTCATTTAAAAAACTGCAGCTTATTGTGAAAAATATACTGACACATGAAAAATCCTCCAAGTCAAAAGGACCCATACAAATTTGAAACTATGGCCTGACATAAGATTGACATGCTACAGGCCAGCTGCTTATGTTGAATACTGGTACGGCGTTGGGGTGACATGCTACATCTTTGTCAAGATACAGAACAGTGTTTCACAGACAGAGCATGAAAACAGCTTAGATATGAGCAAGTCCAGTTTAACTTCTTGGTTAGCATACAAAATCTTGAAGTTCATTGATATTCACTAAACATAGGTTATTTTCCTGACATAAGTCTTGAATTGAGAGTTAAAACTCTTTTACTTAAAAAGATGTTAAAATGAACATATCTAATGTACAATTGTCAAAGAGGTACACAAAGTATGAGGTCTAAATTGTCTAGATTGTCTATACTTTAATTTTTTTGGATGCCACGATGGCCGAGTTGGTTGGATTGCTGACTTTTTGTGCTGGCTATGGTTGCATCACTCAGAGAGTGGGGGCTTGAATCTTAGATGGGATTCAACCCCCAAAAGTACTAGAATCCGGACTTTCAAACAAACCACATATGAATGCATCCAGATCATCATCTTTGGAATCTCCATCTGCACAAGGAAAGAATATCTGTCCGTTGGGAATCCCATACTCCTCCCTGAAGCTCATCAGCTGACAGCGCTGTGTCATGCAGCAGTAGGTGATGGGAGTGCAGCCGGGGAAGGGGGAATCGTCTTCAACCTGACAACAAGCATGGTTCACACTTCACATATTTATGTAACAGGTTACTGTTTCCATCTGGGAAAATACACCAGTGGAAAGTTATCCCTTGGGATTGTTTTCTTATCCATTACACAAGACCATCTGGGAGCCTTGTAGTAGTGTCACTTTTTCCGCTAATTAAGCCATGGCTTGGTTCTAGCAAGAAGAAAAACAAAACTCAGACACATCTAGCCCCAGCCTTGCAGATTTCTGCATTGCTTCAATATAAGGCAATGGTAGAGTTCACACAAAAATAATACAAAAAAATTGGGCTCACTTCCATCTGTGTGTTATGAACAGTCTCATGCTATACACTGACTATATACCGACATGTGTTACTTCTACATTGGGGCGGTGGGGTAGCCTAGTGGTTAAGGCGTTTACTCGTCACGCCAAAGACTCGGGTTCGATTCCCCACATGGGTACAATGTGTGAAGCCAATTTCTGGTGTCCCCTGCCATGATATTGCTGGAATATTGCTAAAAGCGGCGTAAAACCAAACTCACTCACTCACTCACTACTTCTACACTGTATGGATAGATCTGGATGTATAGCTGCATAGAGTGAAACAGACCAGGGCCCTGTTTCACAAAGCTATCGTAGCGCTACGACTATCGTAAGTCAATGTTCCAGGAGGTAGGAATGCTATGAGGAACGTTATGAGATCTTAGGCTTATGTGTGCTTTGTGAAAAGGGGCCCTGGCACAAATTAACAGAACATTTTTAGTTGAGTCCCAGAATTTTGATTTTGTAAAAGTAAACAGAGAGTTAACAATCCAACCCAAACAGCCAAAGAGGCTTCCATAAGAGTCCGAATACAGCTAGTCTGGAAACCTTTAATGTTAAATACTGTAACTGAATCTAAACATGGCTTACTTGCACAAAACAATTCCAAGCTTAGTACTGACTACCCAAGTCTATGTTAGAGCATGGGAGTTATGATCATGATATCATGGAGACTGCTTTGAGGAAGTGAGCCATGACACTACTTTAAGCTGCTTTACCTTAGAATCAATACAGAGAAACAACTTACACTGAAATTCTCAGCAATAGTTTTGCAATCCAAGAGCTTTTCTGATCTGAAGTGAGTTGATATTGCAATACAGCCAAGCAGCCTGAAAAACACACATCCTGCAGTACTGACATCTGTCGATCAAAGTGTAGAAATAATTCAGTATTACTACAGACCTATTGGAGCACTGAGTCATCATTGTTTGATACTTAGGAGGCAGACTGATGGCACACTTGTTGAAAGTAGGATCTAGTGGAACTCCGACTCATACTGTGATTAGATCTTGGATGGGGATTACCACACAAGAAAAGGTTTCAGTTTGACCATGTGTCATTAGTGTGTCATTACCTTCTGTTATGTCTGGGTTCTATACTCACAGCCAATAGTTTGAATACTGAGGTGATAATGCAGACACCGTGAAGATCCGGGTTAGAATTGGTCTTCAGTAACCCATGCTTGTTGTAAGAGGTATCCAACGGATTGGATTGTCAGGCTCGCTGACTTGGTTGACACATGTCATCATGCCATTGATCACTGGATTGTCTGGTCCAGACCCAGTTATTTACAGACCACCATCATATATACAGAATATTGCTGAGTGCAGTGTTAATCAAACAAACGATAATGCAGGCCGTTTTAGAGGCTTTTTAAGGTCCAATAAGTAATTTAAAGGCCCTTTAGAAACACACATAAACAGCTGAATAAACATGAGATTGGTTGAATGTGGGACCAACAATAAAGGGAAATAACTCATTGTTTGCTATAAGTGTTGGGCCTTTTCAGGGCTTAAATGAATTTAGGGCCTATTTAGGGTAAAATATTCAAATTTCAGGCTTTTTCAAGCCTGTGTGAACCCTGAGTGTGCATTATAACATGACAATCTATGCACAAAACCTACAATTACTTCTTTGTGCTGATGTTATATTTTACACTAAAATCATTGATTTCTTTAAAAAAACAGTTTTAATAAGGACATTTCCTGGACCAGTTAGAACTGGTTTAAGAACTGAACCCAATTTTTAGATGCTGTTTCATGAGTCATGAGATGTGTTGATATGAATGAGAATTTTATTAATACCAGATGTGAGTAAAAGTCTGATTCTAGAAGAATACAAGAATACAGGAAGAATTTTCCTAACATCGGAACTATTTCTCCCAGAAATCCAAAACTCACAGAAGCATAATATACTAGATAATGTGACCAAATATTAACTTCACTTGACCACAAATAACAATTTGTTTTTTTGCAAATAACCTTTATCAATGCCATTTCTATTCATCATCAAAATACACATATCAAAACATTTCAGTAGTTTGGCACTACTGTACCACGGTAAAGTTTAATGTGGATATTTATTTGACTGACTGGTGAATTCCACTGGACCTGGGCATCGGGCAATGGTTTTTTTTAACCCCTGTGTGAGTCATGTAAGCATATATTAATGAATTCATAAGAATATTTCAAAGTTTTACTAAGATTCCTAGTGCCACAAAGGACACTTATTGTACAAAGCAATGTTAACAATGCTATGTTGATTCCATGTTAGAGTATGGGAAATACGATCATCTTAGCGCTAAAATTGCTTTGCACAACTAGGCCATGTACAGTTTATATATGAATCTACTTACCCTGGGCCTGCCCCTTGTTTCTGCCCATTATAAATCTTAAGGGAACACCTCATATCATCTGGGAAGCGGCAGCCCAGTTTACTCTCCGCCTCTCGTAACTGCTCCTCAGTGGCAGGAGCTGAGAAATTCAGAAAGTAACATCAGAAGATCTAACAACAGTGGGTAGATTGACATTAATATGGCAAAATCAGCCACATTAAGTGACAGAAACCTCTATTTTTGTCTTTCTTTCAAAACAAAGCAGGTTGTCACTAAGGGTCAGGGATCTGGTGGCTCTGATCTGAAGAGGACACCTCCATGGCATTTTAGTGTGCAAACAATTGTGAAATTCTTCAAAGGCATTTAGAAGTTGGTGTAGTAATACAAGACAAATCTTATGGATAACAATAAGATGTAAAAACATACCCTATCACTGTATTCTTCTCTTTCATCTCACTGCATTGTTTGTACATACTTAATTATATCCCCTTCCCCTTGCGCTTGTATATACTTATTTACATATCTGGCTTCCTGTACATCAGTATATACTGAACATCATTGAAAACGCACCATTTATAAAAGTTCAGAGTATTAAAAGCATGTGTAAAGAATTGATATTTTTTGAGTGGATAATAACAGATGGACGACTGACAAAAACAACAACACAGAAAAGATGCTCATTTATTGAAATGTTCCACAGTCAGAAAGGATCAAACACATGTGGGGTCAAATCGAAAGGTCGTCGCGAAAGACTTTGACCAATTTCTTCCCACAAGTGCTCCATGGGGGATACATCTGGCGACTGTGCTGGTCAATGAATAACCTCGATGTGTTGCTGGGCCAGATACTGCATGGAAAGTCTTGTTGTGTGTGCCCGTGCGTTGTCCTGTTGAAAGGTATGGACATCTTGGTGGTGATTGAAGACAGATACGATGTGGTTCTGAAGAATCTGCTCACGGTATTAAAGGGCATTAACTCTCCATTGACAGACATGAAGGCAGTCCTGTGATTGTAATTTATTCCATCCCAGACCATGACACTCACACCACCAAAAGGTCTGCCTGAACCACACATTCATCAGCATTACGTTCACCACGTCTACGCCAAACAAGTAATCGGCTGTCAGCATTACGTAGATGAAGACGTGACTCGTCAGTGATTACCACACCATGCCATGTCTGTCAGTCAGAATTGGTCCAACGTAAGGACGTCGAGCATGGAGCCCTGTAGCGTGTAGACGGTGTCGCATGGAGTCAGCGCTGATGACCCCCACGTCAACCTTGAACTAGTACAGACGTCCTTGCAGTCGGCAGTGTTCAATCACTGATATGGACATGGTCAATATGGCAATCCTGATGGAGCGTCGTAACACATTGTTGCCAAGGTAATTGAAGGTCACAGGTGCTGCCTGTCTACTGATGTCGTCTATAAAGCCTAACGATGGTGGAGTGGCCAAGTCCAAGTTGTCGAGCAATATCCCTGCTGCTGGTGCCAACCTGAATCATGCCTAGTGCACGTTCTCATTCGTGAGGTGTTAACCTCGGCATCTCTGTCCTCGTTTCATAATCGTTAGTGAAGCAATGAGAATTGGTTCTCATACACCTGCTTTTAACGTCATAGTCAGTATGATTTCAGAATGAAATTTGCGCTTTTTTCATGGCGTGGCTGCATGTGGCTGCATTTTAGAATTAAGAGTCATACTGTGGACAGGAATTTGTTTCTAAAGCATTTTTTCAACTGGACATGCCCTTCGACTTCATGTTAGTTATATTCATTGATCATTGTCATGCTGAAATCCATCTTGATGAAAATATGGACAATTTTAGACTGGTGCGTTTTCAATGATGTTCAGTATATATACTGTATTGTTCACTATGATCATTATCCACCTGAAGAGGGGCAAGAACTAGCCCAGAAACATTGCGTAAAATAAATCAAAAATTTGTTATCCAAAAGATTTGTTTAACAATTGTGAAGTATACTAGTTTTAATAAAGATATATACACATGTAGCCACTGATATAGACACACACAGAGATGTCTATACTTACGCAGGAGAGTGCTAGTGATGACTTTGTCATACTTCTTCAGGTAACCCATGATCTTGTTCCATGCTGTGCGAATCCTTATATAGACACCAAGGACATCACCATAGTTTCCATAATATTTGAGAAACAACTCTTTCCATGTACTGTCCTCAGGGCACCTGTAATGGAAATACAGAGAAGTACAGAGCTGCATAAGCAGCATAACTTCGATGGAAATACAGAAACACAAGGACAAAATCTGGAAATACAGAGATGAATATGAAGGAACTTCTATTGAAATCCAGAGATAGATCAGGAGGAAGTTCATGGTAGTGATGTCACAACTGTTTTCATAAGCAGAAAGTGCTGAGATGAAAATACCAAGGTTTCTCGTTTCAAGATTTATGCCCTTGTTGACAAGCACTTGCATCATTTGATGGTTATCTTGTACCTGTAATGGACGTTTATCAGTTATGTCATGCTGTTATCACAATAACCAGTTAGAGTTGTGTGTTATTGTGACGTCACATCAGACCCAAGAGTTCATGCCCCCAAGTGAGCGAAAGTTTCTACAGATGCCATGTTCATGTGGTCAGTGGTGAGACTTACTCCTGAAGCATGAAGCATTTGTCACACTGTATTTTCCAGAGAGAATCATCAGTAGCTACATTGCAGAACAGGTTGTTGACAAGGGACAAGCTGAAATAAGACAGATGGGGCAATAATTAAGATTGTTCAGAAATGGCCTTTGGACCTTCCTACAAGATATATATCGTTGCTCCATCTCTAAAACCAGTGAATTTTATTTCACCTTGAGTGAGTGGGGTAATAAGCAGCTGATAGTTATAAAATCTGCCCCCTTGCTTCTCTTAGAGATGGATAATATTTTTTTCAATTCTGAATCTCTAGTATTATCTTAGTGCCATCATCATAGTGATGCATGACAATCACCCATTAAATGTCTCACAAATGGACTTCAGACACAGGCCACCCAAGATTCCAATGTGAAGACAAATATGTACTGCGATTAAAAACTGTGGTAGACAACTATTCTGTGAATGATGTGGGCTAACATACCCTCTCAGGGGGACAATATTTTACTGGATTTCAACCCCCATCAAGGGTATTTTCACTAACAATCTCAGTTGATTATCATGTACTACCATTTTATAAAATATTTAACTATATACATCAAAATATAAGGATTAATTCTATTTCTTTTTAAAAAATGGACTACTTAAGACTTTAGGTACCCTAGATCCCTTGGGGAGACAAGATACAGAATATCTCTTTTTATTGACAATGAAATGACATAGATCTATCTGAACCCAAAACCCTTTTCTAAACTAAGTCCCATCCCTGATTTGAACCATACTCACTTGACCAGATCTTTGTAGTCCACATGTTGAAACACCTGAAGAAGTATCTCAGATGGGAAGTGCAACAGAGTGGATGACCCACAGGCCATCCTGGCAGGAGTTCTTCAACCCAGGAGCCTGTACTAATCCTCACAACTCACACACAGTGAATGAGTCGTGTCATCCATTACGGCACCATCCCACGAACTGCTTCTCCTGCAATATACTGCAATTGCAGCAACAAAAATGACTATATGAGAATATGAAGTCATTTCTTTCAATCGTAAACAAAATCTTACATGGAGTAAATAATTTAATGCTGTTTAGTTATCAAGATAACTCATGCCTTCCGTGATGATGTTGGATATACATACATGTTACAGATTCTGCTTTGAAAGTCTGCACATAAACACATAAGTTGGACCATGTTGGAATGAGTAAGTTGTATATACAGCTGACTGAACGATATCTCTATGACACCATGACTCATAATCTATTGTGGGAGGAGAGTTCAAAATGATGGAGGTCTTTTGCCTTTAGGACTTCATTGAGTATGGTGTTTACTGATACTAATCGAAAAGGATAGAATCAAGGCAAAATCTGTTAAAACTGATACTAGTCATGCACATAGAAAAGGATAGAATCAAGGCAAAATCTGAGTTAAGTTTTTATTGTCCAGGATTCATGCACATAGACCAGACAATCCAGTGATCATAACTCTTGAGCACATTATTTGGGAACCGATGACATGTAGATGTCATCGAGCCTGACCACAAGTAGCCACTTCACGACAAGACGTCGCCTTTTGGAAGCACATGTGAAGACCTATTCACCCCGGCTTGAAGGTGCTGCATATCTGGGCCACAAGTACACTGTGGATGTGTATGTGCATGAAGGTATAGGTGGTTGTGTTGGGTAGTGATGGTGTAGATAAGGGGGCACACAAAAATCATTGTTTCTTTGTCATGATAGAACAGTTTTACTAGTTAACAATTTACCTCTTAATGTTCATAACCAGGTACATTTTATTACATGTAATGCTTAAACTTGGAATAAAGCAAAATACTGTATAATATGCAGCAAGATCAAGTACTATTAAGTATTAGTTACCATTGAATAGGCATAATATATCATTTCATATCACAAGGTATCAAATTCATGATACATACACTTTGGTAAGAAATCCACTATGCAGTAAATACAATACATATCACGAATATAGCGTAATGAATCTACAAATTACTTTTTTTCACAAATACAATAAAAAGTCAGTAATTGATGTATTATTCATTACATTTGGTGAAAAAAATTAAAAAAATTAAAAAATATATTCCATCTTTGTCACACTAAATATTGTTACTTGTTCCCAACTCTTGGTAAAATGTTTTCATTATTTTCAAGTAACAAACTTGATGTTTGGAATAAACTAAAACTAAAACCTGTTGTTTAGCAACATCGTGTTTAGATTGCATTGTCTTGCCTATACCAGAGATACAGATAAGCTGCGTATCTGTGTAAATTACGCAAATACTTATGTGAAAACTCAATTCCTATTATGTCTATTGCATACTAGTACGCTTGAGTTTTTGTAAATACTCAATAAATGTGATCTTACATGCGTACACACAAAAATGTCAAATCTTAGCTTGTGTACTGGTGGATAGATAAAATAACTGAGGTAATTTGAGAGGTTCTATTTCAGGACATGAACTTAGCAACTTGCAGTCTTCCTTATCGTTTCTCATATTACAAATCAAATATAAATGACAAACACTAACATTTAAACTTTATTATATTTTAAAATTAATGGAAAATGGCAAAATACCCAATTGACTTTGAGTGAGGTGAGTACAATTTATTTGGTTACTTAAAGGAAAATTAGGATTGAGATGAACACAAGGAAGTACATAACTCAATCAGGGGTTCAAAAATCCCATCGCCCGACGCCCGGGACAAGTCAGTTTTCATTTCAGGCAATCAAATAATGGTATCTTACTTGTCCGTGGGCTACTAGATAATTTCCACTTATGGTTTCAAACTGCAAATAAACTTGGATTTAATTTCATATCTGCTCAAAATGTAGCTTTTAAATTTCGCAATGATGATAAAGTAGAGTTATCTTTCTCTGCTATTTATCACTTTCCAATAAATAGTTCAGTAAACATCAAATACCATGTTGACTTATTCTTTCATAATTACATCATCATGATTATGTCATTAAATCAGGACAAGTGGAAAATTTGTCAGGACAAGTGACTTTCTTAAAGTCACTTGCCCTGTGGCAAGTGGCTTTTTAAAATAATTTTGAACCCCTGTCAATGACCCAAACAGTTATCTGTAGCTCTGCTACACTATATACTGTCATATGATGTTACATGTTGTACTGAGTGCTCCTGTCAATCAGTCATTATCATGCTCTGTAGGGGCCAGTGGCTCCTGTACATGAATAAAACATCATGTACCCATGTACACTGACTTACAAAGCATAATGTGATGTAATTGTGTTGTAGCGATATATCAGCCAAACAATACATCCTGTAGAAGTCTGTTTCTTAACAATGAATACATAGCCATCGATGGAACACATGCTAGTGTAATAATTACTTTATTGTCAATTCATCCCATATAATTTTGAACTCGCATCACAGCCACCATGTCCATAATGTTAGAAGACTACAACTGTCAAAGACAAGAACAATCTTACGTTATGATGCTGATCTGGTTCTAAAGAGTGTAAGGGACTGTTCATAAGTTATGGCTAGGGGGTTGATGATGATATTTATGGAGAAGCATGTACAATGTCAATGACCTTACCCTCCCCCCCAACAAAAAAATGTAAAAAAATTATGCACAAAGTAAGGGACAGTCATGTACAAAATCAGTGACACCCCCCCTTACTGAGCAGTACATGTGTACAAATTGATGACACCTTGGACACACGCCCCCTGCATACCTCCCACAGAACAAAATGGGTGACCCACATAAATTATAAAGGGTCCCTAATTCCGATCTCATGTCACAATAACATGACTTCAAAAATGCTGCCCAGATAACGTGTTTACAGTACACTGACAAGTGAAGCTGATGACATATTTGCACTTATTTATTTATATGACATATTTGTTTATAACCTTGGTTATTCATCAATAATGGGTAATAATAATCATTGCACAGATAAAAGGGTTCATGGCCGGGAAGGCTAAAATCACGACGCTTCTCGGTTCAATGAGCGTAGCCTTCGCGGTACTTGCAATGCAATGTTATGGCTGAATGAACATGGCGCACCTCACTCGGAGGCTCTGACAAATTACAAAGAAAACAGGATTAATGGGGATGCTCTTTAATTTGGGCACATCTAAAAATATAAATAAAGTTATTTACACATTTTCACGTCTATTCTTCATTACACATTTTCTTTAATTTGACATTAGATAGTTCATTTTGAGGAGTCTTTCCTAAAAGATAAATGTATACCTTACGAGTTTAAATCTTTAAATATGTTTCTGTTTATGTATGCTGATGATCTTGTAATATTTTCTGAATCTGTTGAAACGTTGCAAACACAGATGAATTTGTTGTCAGCTTATTCCAGACGGTGGGAACTTGAAGTAAATATTGCTAAAACAAAAATAATGGTCTTCAGAAGAGTTGGTAAAGTTAAATCGTCAGAACATTGGTTATATATAATCGGAATAGTTTTTAATTATAATAACCGATTCTCAAAGGCACAGTTGCAATTGTCTGAACAGGGTAGGAAGGCCCTTTTTTTAATTTACAATAATATACGGTCTCTCTCTCTCAACCTGGAATCTTTTTTATTTGTCTTTGATTGTTATGTTGGTAGTATACTATCTTATGCGTCTGAGATATGGGGATATAATAAAGGCTTAAATATTGAAAGGTTGCATTTGGATTTTTGTAAAAGGTTATTAGGAGTTAAGAAATCAACATGTAATTCAATGGTTTATGTCGAGTTAGGTCGTTATCCGCTCGTATTTAAAAGGCAATATAGCATGATTAAATATTGGTGTAAACTTCTTGTGTCTGAAAATAGCATTTTACGGGGTTGTTATGAGTATTTGTATGAGGACCCGTGGTGTAAAAAATTGGACGTATCATGTTAAACACATTTTGTCAAACACTGGATTAAGTGAAATATGGTTAAGGCAGGATTACTTCTAGATTATGAAACAAAGAAAAAATGATCAGGCTATTCAGTTTATCTTTAGTGAGCTGTCCAACTCATCGAAATTGCAATTTATAAAAATATTATTAACCAGTGTACAGATAACGGTAATACTATAACAATGTTTTGAAAGGAAATCTATCTACTCCCGACATGGATTATGCTTCCCGGCACCGTATCTTTAGCTTTGGCGGTACTCCCCCTTGGAAATTAGCTCTCCCGGGAATTACGAAATATACATTTTAGCCTTCCTGGGACATCTGAAAAATAAATTTTAGCCTTCCGTATCGTTCATAACATAAGCATTCAATACTGGTTAATGGTTGAATTTAGTTTACATGTTTCCTAGATTAAATTATATGTCATTTACAGTAATCAACTGAATAGCAAGCCTGATATAACACAAGTTTACACAGCAAAATTTTCCACTGCTAAATTGCAGGCAAGTCTTACATTGAAACCAACGTGGATCTATATATAATATAGCGACATACTAACTGCAAATAACACTGTCATTGACAGTTTCAACACCACACTGTTTACAAATTGTCTAGATTGTGTACGTATTCATGCTTCTAATACGTTGACAGGTTTGAGCGACTCTTCTCCGGGGTCAAGTCCGGGTCTCGACTAGACTGAACGGCAGAATACTGAGTTATGTCGTGAACCCAAACACCCTAACATACACACCTGACAAATCCAGTTCGGTGATGTGGGGATAAAAATAATACACAAATGTAGAGTTATCTTCCCTTATCTAAATGTCATTCATGACTCGTCTCTTTCCCTTATCTACGCTCGTCATTCCATTCGTCACCACTCGCCTCTTTCCGTAACCTCCATTCGTGACCAACTCGTGTTATTCCGGGACAAGCCGAATAGCGACTCGTGCCCCTCTGGAAGGATTTCATATTGGCACATATCAACGATAACTCTATCCCTGTTTGATTCCAACGTTTCTTAATATCACCGAAGCACTCGTACATTGTATTGCTGGTTTTTTTACTTATTCATTTCAAAGAATTAAACCTCTTTGATACAACTAAAAGGAGAAAGACATATGTTAAAGACATATTCTAAAGTAATTATTACCAGCTGTTCACCTTATATTTCAAATTTAATAATTACAAATGGCAATTGTTTTATTGAAAATACGATAAATATAAAATAAATTCAGATACAATAAATCCCAAAGCAGATAATTAAAAAATGATTTTAGAATATTTCACAAACTGAACATTCGTGTACTCACACATAACCTTGCTGTCCCTGGTGGAATTTTTAAAAAATTCGCTGAAAAAATATGAATGACCAAAACAATGTCCAATGACCAAAACAATGTCAGACTAAATATCCACAGAAATGTGAAATATAAGTCCAATGTTAAAGATTAAAGTTGATTAGTTACATACAGATATAATATTATTGTTTTGTAACTCGTAGCGATTTATAATTGCATTTCCTAAAATGTTGGAAGCGCACCTACAATCTCCAAAACAAGCCCCGCAAGATCGTCTGAAATACACTCAATTGGCCCCATGAGAGCCACTATGTCAACTAACGCACGTTCGTGTATTTGAATCTCTATTCGTCCATGGCACTATCCTTACTAAAGTCTACACGAGGCAACACAGTTCTGTTAGCTACGTTCATTGTGCTTTCAAAACGACAATATATATTTTTCATTATTTTTTAAACAAACACATAATGCCATAACCGATTTAAATACTGGGGATTATATTTATCAAAGCACGGCAGTCATTACGCACGTTCTGATTGGTTTGTCGTATTTTCGCACATAACAAGCATCGAGACGGGAGTCGTCTTTGAGGTTACGGAAAGAGGCGAGTGGTGACGAATGTCGTCATTCCTGACACACTCGTGTTATTTCGGGGCAAGCATGCACAAATCGAATTTAGTTAGACTGTCGTACATTCCTTGAAGAATGTATTTGTTCCCATCCTCATAGCCCTTACTTCGGCGACAATCATGTCAGACGTGGTTTTCTGTCATAAATGTATAGTATTCATTTTAGAGCCAGATCATAATTTATGACTTGGCGGGGGTGGGGGTGATAATTTTTATGGAGAAGCATGTATAATGTGAATGCCCCCTCCCCCCCTAATTTACGTACAAACTATATGCGTGTCATGTGTAACATCAATGACACCTCCTTGCTGTACATGTGTACAAAATTGATGACACCCTCCCACCCCCACCCCACCCCCGAACAAAATGGGTGACGACACCTTAAAGGGCAAGTGTACACGAAAATAAACTTTTTTGTCTTTCACCTTTTCATCATGAAAAATGTTTGTCAAGTATTTTTATATCCAAACCCGTACATATATCAGAAGTATTTTTTGCGTTATATCAATTCATATTTTCAACATTTACCGAGAGTTCTGTGTCCACAATAAACACACCATGGCTTATGTCCCTTGGAAATGACGTCATTGGTGCCCAAATGATAAACGAATGACGTCGTTAGTCCTTATTTGACCCATTTCACGTGGTGCAGGTATAGGTGCGGTTCTTGTGTCTCGATGCGCAGGCTACTGTTTTAATCCAGCTGTTGCCTGGCCGTCAGCTGGCTATGTCATCAGTTCTACACTGTAATGACGTTGCAGTTTGAAAAAACGTATACATTGTACCAAATGTGTTACCACGTAACCAAATTGTATAACATTCAACCTGTGTCGGTCGCCTTTTCAACGGTATCTTTTTTCACAAAAACTAAAATGTGCACTACATGTAGCTTGCCATCGGCGAATGTGCCGGCATTCTACGTTTGTTACTAAAATTCCTACTTAAATCGTACAGTATGTCCCTCCTCTTCCACCTTCACTTTGATATCGATACCATATCCATGTACATCACGAAAATAAATGCAATTTGCACTTTTGAACTCTGTTTGAAATTCGTTTTTCTATATCATCCGCTCATTGTAGTTCAAATACATGTATACTGAAAATTACATGTATCGTAAATCTCGCCAGTTTTGACACATTACTACATCACCACTCACTGCGTTTTGCGTGTCTTAATTCAAATGTCAAACTTTACTGGGAAAAATGAATTTAAAAGAAAAAGACCTATCATTGTGATCAGCGGTAGTTTTGTTGCTGTATTCATGATCAAATCACTAATGCTCGTTCTGAAACATTGTCGATGAACCGAGAATCGCTGAGAATGTTCTGGAAATACGCTTGCAAACACAATTAACGTCAAAATGAATTTTCAGCCATTTTACAGAGTGTTTATAAAATCACGTCACGTGTATGTCGGCTCTATTTCGCCCATAAAATCAATTGTATATAGTTCAACACCATCTTCCTGACACGAATCCCTGAATTTCTCATACAGTTCAAAATAAACTGACAAATGATCTTTGTCACCAATAAGTGTTTCAGTGAAATCGAACGAAATATACCAGATGCCGCGCTGGGAAAGGACCACTTGTTTGAAATGTAAACAAAGCCAATCTCAGATTTTACACTGTGTATCCGCTCGCCTACCACCAACCCGTAGCCATACATTGTGAACGGTCCCTAATTCCGATCTCATGTCTCAATGACATATTATATAATATGCATTATTTGTAAATATTTTTATGTACAAACTTGATGATACCCCCACCAAAATGGTCCATGTGTGAACATTAAAAACATCAATCATATAACTATCAATAATATGGACCATTACAATACACACACACGCACATGTACAAAACTGGCACTCGGCATAAGTCCATTTTGACCAACCGGACCGAAAATGCATATAAGCCATATCAGCCCTAGGGCCGAAAATCCATATCACCACCAACAAATTCAGAGGGGGGCAGGACGAACTATTTTTTGAGACCCTACCACGAATGTTGCTGAATATGTGGAGGCAAATTATTGTTATTCCTATTTCTAAGATATTTCTGTGAAAGATTAAAAGCGCCGACAGTACTTTATCAGGCGATAAAATACACTTTTTTTGCATTACGTATTGACGTCACAAGGCCATTCTAGTCTGCCCCCTCGTACTCTTTGAAAACGTAACCTAGGACGGTAAGATTGTCCCGTGGTAAAGTGTTCGCTCGTCACGCCGAAGACCCGGCTTCGATTCCTCACATGGGTCCAATGTGTGAAGCCCATTTCAGGTGTCCCTGGAATATTGCTGAAAGCGGCGTAAAGCTAAACTCACTCATTCAACCGTAACCGACGTCTCGATGCATGTTACTTGTCATCGCTTCGTATTGTCCCTTCTGCACAACTACTCCGTAGCATCCTGTTTCTTGGCTTGCAGTCGCTTCGCTTGGCTAACATCGTTTAACTTTTTCGACGGAAAAAATGCCTGAGATTGACTCAAACTTAAACAGGGATACAGATAACTAAGCCTGTGTCCAAGTCCCGTGGAATGTCGCGTGACTAGTCAGCTTCATCTGTATGTGCTGCTCTGAACTTATGTTGGTGGTAGAAATGCGACGTTCATATTGCCTATAGTTTGGCATGAAATGCATGTGGACCCGTTTTTTTTTTGTAAATATCTCTTCATCCAATGACCCAATCGATCTCAAACTGTGCAAGAGGATGTTTTGTCAGACAACCTAATCACATTGTACATCACCGATTTTATGCATTTGTATTAAAGAATCTGTCTATGTAACTGTCAACAAAATAAACAGCAGAACGCAGAAGGCTTGCAGAGGGAGGGAGCCAATGACCTGTAACAGCGGTAGTGTTGGGTCATAAAGGTCAACGTTCGTCAATGTAGGTCAGCGTGGCAAATGTTAATTTGTTATCTGCATTCGTACCAGAGGCCTTGAGTCTGAAGTGTTGAAATAAACTGTCTCTGTGGATATTGAAGAGTAGTGGTGCACTAGAGGTTGCTAATGAACATCGTATGTACCTTTGTGACAGTAAGAGATAAAGAAATGTGATCAAATGAATGAAATTTACCAATCACAGAAGAAAAAGAAGTCACCTTAGACAACAACGCCGGATACAAACGTTTGAGTTCATCTTTGTATTTTCAACAAATATTTATCCTTTCAGCTCTATACATCTCATACACAGATGAACTTTAGATTTAGATGTATTAGATACAGTCTAAAGTCAAGAGTCTGTTGGTTAAAGCAAAAGTTTGCATCCCAGGGACTGTAGTCCGTGGTGATAGAAGCATTTGTTTGTGTTTTGTGTTAATATTTATGTCTGATTTCAGTGACTTTGATGTGTTCTGTGATGTAAATGTCACACAAAAACTTCTTTGAGAGGCATTTAGAGGTTCGAGCAGCAAGGAAGGATTACGATATCTGGATATCATCACTTGCTCTCACTGTAACAATGAAGTTGTTCATCCATGAACACACAATGCTATTTAGGATGTGGTCAAATTTAACATACCCGAGAAGATCCCGGTTAGAAATGATTTTCAGTAACCCATGCTTGCCAAAAGAGCTAGGGAGGCGACTAACGGGACCGGGTGGTCAGGCAAGCTGACATGGTTGCCACATGACATTGTATCCCAGTTTTGAAATCGATGCTCATGATGTTGATCACTGGATTGTCTGGTCCAGACTCGATTATTTACTGACCGCCGTCATATAGCTTTAATATTGCTGAGTTCGGCGTAAAACTAAACTCACTCACTCACTCTCTTACTCAAATGTAACATGTTATATTTGGGATTAGACTTT